ATTATTTTTTAAGGCGTGGATTTTTTTAAAAATTATTTTCAATGATCTATATTTTTAGAGGGTGTATCACAAAATCTATAACTTTTTCCATTTTTCCACAATTACCTTGAACTTGTTGCCGCGCCACTAAAAATACTCTAATAATTTTTGCAATAAAAAAAGGGAAAGCAACAGGAAACGGAAATTACCCACAATGCAAAAGGAAAACAACTAAATCAGTGTTTTTATTTCTTTATTTTGGTAGCGAAGATGGGAGGGGAGTAATGATAAAGGCAACAGTTAAAAGAACAATTTATGGTTTCCTTTGCAACCACATTTAACTTCCAAGGATTCTTTTTTTCTTTCGATTCACCACAAAAAAATACAATTTCTTTTATTACATTAAGAGTAAATACATTTAAGAGCTTTTTAAGGGGGTTAAGAAATAAACTCTTCAAAGAGAAAGAGAGAGTGAGAGTGTGTGCGTGTGTGTGATTACCGTAGAAAAATACGCAACATGTTGCTAAAGCACTTGTTGAGTGCTGTAAACAGAGCGGCTAAAGATGTAAACAGAGCGTTCTCCCTCTCTCTCTCTCTTTCTTACTCTTTAACTCTTAGAATACACCCAACCACGTGTTGTTATGTTTTGTAAACAAATTCTCAAAGAAAAAGTGCCGGTAAACCAACTTCGTTTTAAAAAGTCGGCGGTAATAGTGTTCGATGGCAACAGGTACCCGCCGGCGTATGAGTCATGGGAAATACAAATATTATTTTTTTCTGGGTTACGTATACGTCCCAGGTTCCGCACATTGTTTAGGTGGCTTGAAAAAAAAATATTTTTTTACGTTTCTTTTAAAATTTCGATAAAAATTTCGATTACGATTTCATTTTAGAGGATTGGTGTCAATGTTGGAAATATTCTGCATCGAATTTCAGTATAGGTCCACGAACTTAAGAAATGTGAAATTATATCATATATAGCAATAAAATTTAGATTTAAAATATACCTAAAATGCTATTAAGGTTTTGGGTATTTTTCAAATTGACCCAATTTTTCCATTAAAACTTCGTTTTAGCGTAATGGTTCCAATGAAAAAATATTCTCCACAAAATTCCACCATAGGTCCACGAACAATAGAAATGTCTGAGGATATCATATGTAGAATTAAAATATTAATTTTAATTTATATTTAAAATACATCTAAAATGTTATTTAAATTTTTGGGTATTTTTAAAATTAACCCAAATTTTCCATTAAAACTTCATTTTATCGGTAAGGCACCAACGAAAAAATTAATCTCCATAAAATTTCACTATAGGTCCACGAACAATAGAAATCTCTATCAATGTTATATATAGCAATAAAACATTAATTTTAATTTTGCTTTTAATACCCAAAAAATGAAATTTTTCTTTTTTGTGTATTTTTACAATTGACCAAATTTTTTCATCAAAAATTCATTTTAGCGAAATGATACCAAAGGAAAATATATTCTCCACAAAATTTCACTATATGTCAACGAACAAAAGAAATCTCTATCACTGTTATATATAGTAATAAAATATAAATTTAAAATTTGATTTTACTAACCAAAAAATTAAATTTCACTTTTCTGAGTATTTTTACAAATGACCCAATATTTCTAATTCCAATGCATTTTAGCGTAATAATACCAAAGGAAAATATATTCTTCATCAAATTTCACTATAGGTCCCCAAACAATAGAAATCTCTATCAATGTTATATATAGCAATAAAATGTTAATTTTAATTTCCCTTTTAATATACCAAAAAATTTAAATTCTATTTTTTGGGTATTTTTACAAATGACCCAAAATTTCCAACTACATTACATTTTAGCATGATGACCCTAAAGAAAAAATTAATCTCCATAAAATTTCACTATAGGTCACCGAATAAAAGAAATCTCTATCAATGTTATATATAGGAATAAAAAATTGATTTAAAATTTGCTTTTATTACCAAAAAAAGAAAATTCTTCTTTTTTTTTTTTGGTATTTTTACAATTGACCCAAAATTTTCGACTACAATACATTTTAGCATGATGGTCCTAAAGAAAACATTAATCTCCACAAAATTTCAGTATGGGTCCCCGAACAAAAGAAATCTCTATCAATGTTATATATAGATAAAAAATATTAATTTAAAATTTGCTTTACTAATCAAAAAAATTTCATTTTTCTTTTTTTGGGTATTTTTACAAATGACCCAAAATTTCCAATTCCATTACATTTTAGAATGATGGTTCTAAAGAAAAAATTAATCTCCACAAAATTTCACTATAGGTCTCCACACACTAGAAACCTCTATCACTGTTATATATAGTAATAAAAATTAATTTTAATTTTGTTTTTAATACCCAAAAAATTTAAATTTTCTTTTTTTTGGGTATTTTTCCAAATGACCCAAAATTTCCAATTCCAATACATTTTAGCATGATGGTCCTAAGGAAAAAATTAATCTCCATAAAATTTCACTATGAGTCCCCGAACAAAAGAAATCTCTATCAATGTCATATATAGTAATAAAATATTAATTTAAAATTTGCTTTTAATACACAAAAAAAGGAAATTTCTCTTTTTTGGGTATTTTTACAAAAGACCCAAAATTTCCAATTCCAATGCATTTTACCATGATGATCCTAAAGAAAAAGTTAATCTCCACAAAATTTCACTACGGGTCTCCGAACAATAGAAATCTCTATCAATGTTATATATAGATAAAAAATATTAACTTAAAAATTTGCTTTACTACTCAAAAAAAATTCATTTTTCTATTTTTGGGTATTTATACAAATGACCCAAAATTTCCAATACCAATGCATTTTAGCATGATGATCTTAAAGAAAAAAATAATCTCCACAAAATTTCACTATGGGTCCCCAAACAATAGAAATCTCTATCAATATTATATATAGTAATAAAATATTGATTTAAATTTTGCTTTTACTACCCAAAAAATTTAATTTTTCTTTTTTTGGGTATTTTTCCAAATGACCCAAAATTTCCGACTACAATAGATTTTAGCATAATGGTCCTAAAGAAAAAATTAATCTCCACAAAATTTCACTATGGGTCCCCAAACAAAAGAAATCTCTATCAATGTTATATATAGCAATAAAATATTAATTTAAAATTTGCTTTTACTAACCAAAAAAATATCATTTTTGGGTATTTTTCCAAATGACCCAAAATTTCGAATTCCAATGCATTTTACCAAAATTGTACTAAAGAAAAAAATAATCTCCACAAAATTTCACTAAGGGTCCCCGAACAATTGAACTTGCTATCTATAATGTATAACCCTTTGAATATAGTCATCTAAATGACTTCACAAAAATTTTGTTTACAATTTGTTTTTTTTTTTTTTTTTTTTTTTTTTTATAAATAAAACACACGTGTATATATAATGTTTTACATACAATAAGGGATTGTTTTTATTGCTGACAATTTCCAAAATTTTTTTTTTGTTCATAATATGGCCTTTTAACGTTATATATATGAATTTAATCAATTCAATATTTATGTGGAAGTGTTGTGTGTGATGATGATTGGGATGATAATTGAGGTAACACATTTTATTTATATAGATATAATTTTGTTGTTGTTGTTTTTGTTTTTCTTTAATTATTTAATACAAAAATGCATTTATCTATTGTATGCAACAGACCTCTCTTTATTTTGTTTTTTTTTTTCTTTTTTTAAATAAATTACAAAATTGTTTTTAAATTTTCTTTAATGCTCAAAAAAATATTGTAATTTATTTATTATGAAAAAAGAATACAATTCTAAATTCAAATCCCATTAAATAGTTTCTTGCCATTGATTATGTGTTTTAAATCACCCTTACAAAAGGTATTCAAATTTATATTTTTATCAAAAATATGTATTTTTAATGATTTTTTTTTAATTTTCCTGTTGCTTGGAATTTATATAAAAAGAAAATATTTATTTTTTTCAAAATGTTCAAATTTTTTTATTTGTTTTTTTTTTATTTTATTTACTTTACATACAATTTGAGGTTAGGAAAAAATAAAAAAAAATAATTAATTATAAAAAATATATATACTCAATATTTATATAATAAAAAAGGCATTTAAAAAAGAGGAGAAAAGAAAGAGGAGTTGAAAAAATATACTGGCACTAAAGCAATTTTGGAATACTATATAAAAATTGTTTTAACACAGAATAGTTGGGGAAGAAAAAAAATTACAAATTCTACACACAAGAGCATTGAGGAAAAAACATGAGTTAGGTTTGAAAATAAATTACATTTTGAAAACCTGTATCCACCAGAGTTCTTAGTTAATTTTTTTTTTAATTATTTGTATAACAACAACCCTTGAAGTGTTTAGCTCCCGCTCTTCTACAGTTTTAGTAATTTTCCTTTTTACTTATAAATGCAACATAAAAAAATTATTAAATATTTTTTATACTGCTTAAACAAACATTTTGTTTTTAGAATTTTTAATCAAAAAAAATTTTAAGGATTTTGAAAAATTACAAAAAAAAAAATTAAATACTTTTTGGGAAAAATACAAAATATTATAAAACTAGACAAAAAACATGGCATTTCTTTACAAAAAAAAAAAAATAACAAACACAGAATAAGCAAAAAAAATTCCAAAATTACATTTTTATAGGTTATGTTTTGGTTATAATAAATATTTTTTTTATTTTTATAAAAATATGGGGGGATTTTTCAAAAATCTTTTTTTTTCTTTTCTTTAGAATATATTGTAAATAGTTTGGTACTTTATTTTTTTTTATTTAAGGGTTTTACAGAAAATAATTCTTGTGTTTGAAATACTTTGGATAACATAACCTCATTTTTTTTCAATAAAAATTTTTAATGCAGCCTATGTTGTTATTGTTGTTGTTGGTTTTGTTGCTTTTATTTTACACATACACGATGCACGCACGCAGGCACGTACAAACACACACATATACATTCAGTCTGTTGCAGACACCAAAAAAAAACGCGACGACGACGATTTCCTCGATTTTATTCCCAATCCTTTTTTATTTCAAATGTCCATTCCCATTTGAGATGTTGGTGTTTGTCATCATCGGTGAAGAGGGATGAAACCGAATAAGTACCGCGTGCCATCATGCCGGATGGGGCCTCCTCCGGGGGTGTAATATAGCATTGGATTTCCTTTTTGGGGGGATATGAGCCAACCATGTGTGTCATTTTATCAACTGTCAGAGAGAGGGAGAAAAAAAAATAATTAGTATTGTTTTAAATATTAATAATATAAGAAGAAGAAACACACACACACACAAATGTTCCATGGTCAAAAAAGTTTCCCCAGGGGAAGGAAAAACAAAAAAAAAACGAAAAAATCTTACCTAACCTAAAAAAAATATTCCCAATTTGTTTAGGTTAATTTGCATGGTATATAAAATAGATAGCGGCTTCCATTGCTTGGAGACCCACCTTTAAATTTAGTGTAGAATATTTTTTCCATTGGTACAAAACCCACAAAAAACACAATAATGGACCCAATTTATTAATTTTTTTGTTTGGAGACCCACTTTTAAATTTAGTGTAGAATATTTTGTCAAAAACCCTTAAAAAATGAAATTGACCAAAAATGACAATTTTTATATACCAAGTTTAGAGGGGGCCTAACTCCGTGATTTATTAAAGATACCGAAATTTTTTTTGGAGACCCGTATTAAAATTTTGTATAGAATATATTTTCTATTGACACCACACCCATATAAGATAGAATTATGGTCCAAATGACTACAATTCAAACACCTTAAAAATGAAATTGACCAAATATAACAATTTTCATATACCAAGTTTATATGGGGGTCTAACTCCAAGATTTATTAATTTTTTTGTTTGGAGACACACCTTTAAATTTAGTGTAGAATATTTTTCCATTGACATCACACCCATAAAAAGAAGAATTATGGTCCAAATGGCTACAAGTCAAAACCCCTTAAAAACGAAATTGAGCAAAAATTTTTATATACCAAGTTTAGAGGGGGCCTAACTCCGTGATTTTTTAAAGATACCGTAATTTTTTTGTTTGGAGACCCGTGTTAAAATTTTGTGTAGAATATTTTTTCCATTGGTATCACACCCATAAAAAGTAGAATTATGGCCCAAAGGGCTACAATTCAAAACCCCTTTAAATGTGAAAATGACCAAAAATTATCATTTTCATATACCATGTTTATAGTGGTCGTAACTCTGTGATTTATTAAAAATACAGTAATTTTTTGCTTGGAGACCCAAAGTGAAATTTATTGGAGAACATTTCTTTCCCTGACATCGTTAAGCTAAAATGTAGGTATCTCCAAGAAAGTGACGTAATTCTAAAAAGCCTTAAAAAATAACCTCAAATTAGTATTACTCAAATGATAAGCGATTTTTCTAACTATATCCACAATATCTATGGGTAACACATACTTGGGGACCCATAGTGAAAATTGATGTAGAACATTTTTTCCCTTAACACCGACCCCCTGTAATGAAGTTATCTGCGAAAAAATTAGGCAAATTGGAAAAGTATATGAAATTAACCTCAATTTTTTGCTTAACAAATACGTTAGCCAATTTTTTGCCCATATATATTATATCTACCGATTTCTTTTGTTCATGGACCCATAGTGAAATTTGATGTAGAATTTTTCTTGCCTTTACACATACCCTCTGTAATGAAGTTATCTGCGTTAAAACGACTTTATTCGAAAAGAGTATGAAATTAAGCTCAATTTTTTTCGTTAACAAATACGTTAGCCGATTTTTCGCCTATTTATTTTATAGCAACCGATTTCTTTTGTTCATGGACCCATATTGAAATTTTATGTAGAACATTTCCTCCATACACATCATTTGCCTAAAACGAAGTTATCTGCGTAAAAACGAGCCAATTGCAAAAGGTTGTGAAATTAACCTCAATTTTTTGCTTAACAAATACGTTAGCCGATTTTTTTAGTGTAGAAAATTTTTATCATTTACCACCATCCTCTAGGAGGCCTCTAAAGCCTCCAAAGAACCTCAAAACCATGGAACATTTTATTGTTTTTTTTTTTAATTAACACATAGAACTAAAATCTTTCTTACCAACTAAATCTTTAGTATTGACAATTTGTTTTGTTGTTGGGTTAGTTTGTTAAAGGCACATTTAATAAGAAAAAACGATATGGTGGGGAGACACACACACATAGGCGCAACAATATTTATATATATTTTTTGGTTGAGAAAAAATAAAATAATGTGGTTAAGGCGAAGACAAAAGGCATTGTTTTTTTTAGACAAAAGACACGAAAGAAACAAATTAAATATGTGATTAAGAAGAAGAAGAAAAAGCACACATTTGTATTACAAAATATATTTTTGTTTTCAACATATTACTAAAACCGTTATGAATAAAGCAATTATAAGGATATAGGTAACACCAAAAATGCCACAAAAAATATTGGTAATCTTGGAATTTGAAAACATTGCGATGGACTTTGAATATATTTGTGGAGTGCTAACGATGGCAGTGTTCTGTGGACTGAATAATGGGGGAGAAAAAGAAATTTAAACTAAAAAGTGCTTGTGTGTAAATTGTATTAAAAAAGGGAAAATGAAAAAATACAATGGGCAAGGTGAGTATAGGAAGACCTACAAATTTAATTACTTAGCATAGCGAATTTTACTACAGATATTCGATTTTCAGGTGAAAACAAAAAGAAAAGGTTTCATTGCCAATTCCCAAACAACAGCAAAAGAGGGGGTGGAAAGCAAACGACAACAAATTTTGAAGGTTAAGCGAAAAAAATAACAAAAAAAGACACAGTAATCAGACACTTACCAGGGACACCTAAACGATAAGTCTTTTGTACATATTTAAGGCCATGCACAATTTCTCTTTGAACAATAAAATCAATGCGTACTCTATATTGGACACCTTCTTTTATGACAAAAACCTATAGACCAAAAAAAAAATTGAAAAAAGTTAAAAATGTTTACAAATTTAGAAAATTTTAAAAGGGGCACATACTTGTTTTTTAAGCTGGGTTAAATCACCGGTTAAATCTAATTCCATATCGGGTCGACCCTCTGAGACCAACGCCAATTTTTTCACCAATACTTTGCGTTCATCATTGGGATCTGAAAGGAATCAAAGAGAGAGAAAAAAACAAATTAATTTTTAAACACAAATTTTTTATAGTTAAAGGTTTCTTTTGTTCATGGACCCATGGTGAAATTTCGTGCAGAACATTTCTTTCATTTACACCAACCTACTACTTCGAAGTTCTCTATTAAAAATCGTGGCAATTGGGAAAATATATGAAATTAACCTAAATTTTTCGTCTACACATACGTTTATCGATTTTTTACCCATATACATAATAGTTGCAGGTTTCTTTTGTTCATGGACCCATGGTGAAAATTCGTGTAGAACATTTCTTTCATTTACATTAAACTTCTAGATCGAAGTTCTCTATGAAAAATCGAAGCAGTTGGGAAAATATATAAAATTAACTTAAATTTTTCGTTTACACATGAGTTTATCGATTTTTTACCCATATACATAATAGCTACAGGTTTCGTTTATTCGTGGACCCATAGTGTAATTTCACGTAGAATATTTCTTTCATTTACACCAACCTTCTAAATTGAAAGTATCTACCAAAAATCGAGAAAATTGGGGAAAAGTATGAAAATAACCTAACTTTTTTCTTTAAAAAATAGGATAAAGGGATTTTAGCCATTTGTATGATAGTTAAAAGTTTCATTTGTTCATGGAACCATGGTGAAATTTCGTGTAGAACATTTCTTTCATTAACACCAACCTCCTAAATCGAAGTTCTCTATGAAAAATTGAGGCAATTGGGAAAATATATGAAATTAACTTAAATTTTTCGTCTACACATAAGTTAATCGATTTTTTACCTAGATACATAATAAATACAGGTTTCATTTATTCGTGGACCCATAGAGCAATTTCATGTAGAATATTTCTTTCATTTACACCAACCTTCTAAAGTGGAGTTATCTACGAAAAAATCGAGAAATTTGGGGAAAAGTATGAAAATAACCTAACTTTTTTCCTTAGCAAATACAATAACCGGGTTTTTAGGCATTTGTATGATAGTTACAGGTTACTTGTGTTCGTGGACCCATAGTGGATCTTAATGAAGAACATTTCATCCATTAACACCAACCTCCTAAATCGAAGTTCTCTACGAAGAACCGAGGCAATTGGGGAAATGTATGAAAATAACCTAAATTTTTTCCTTAATAAATACCATAACCGGATTTTTAGCCATTTATATGATAGATACAGGTTTCTTGTGTTCGTGGACCCATAGTGGATTTTGATGTAGAACATTTCTTTCATTAACACCAACATTCTAAACTGAAGCTTTCTAAGAAAAAACGAGATAATTCTAAAAATAATTGAAATTAATCTATCTAATTTTTTCTTTGACAAATACGATAACCGGTTTTTAGTAATTTCTATGATAGTTGCAGGTTTCTTTTGTTGGTGGACCCATAGGGGATCTTAATTTAGGATATTTCTTTCATTACCACCAACCTTCTAAACTGAAGTTTTCTACGAAAAAACGAGACAATTCTCAAAATAAATTAAATTAACCTAATTCTTTTTCCTTGACAAATACGATAACCGTTTTTTTAGCCATTTGTATGATAGTTGCAGGTTTCTTTTGTTCGTGGACCCATGGTGAAATTTCGTGTAGAACATTTCTTCCAGTTACAACAACCGCCTAAAATGAAGTTATCTTCGAAAAATCGACCACAATTAGAAATTCATGAACAAAATCTTTTTAATTTCCTTAATTTTAAAAAATTCCCGATGACTTGGCTGGGTTATTTCTTATAATTTCTGTAATTAGATTAGTTTAAATAAAACATATAATTTTATATAGATATAATATGAACACCTTTACGTACCCACAATGATTTTCTCCGCCTGGGCCTCGCCCAGCAATTGTTCTTTGTAACGTCTTAAACTTTCATCTTCCTGATCGGCAGCCATAATTTCTTCAATTGTTTTTTCTGGTGGTGGTTGATAATTGGAATCGTGGACATCATCATCGTGATGGGGATCAATATCAGGGGTGGCGGTTTCGGCTGACATTGTGGTGATGGCTTTTGTTGTTATGTAGAAGACTTAGATTAACTGCAGGTATTGGAAATTAATATAAAAAGCAGCTGAAAAGAAAAAAATTAAGGAAATTAATTAGTAATTTAAATATTAAAATTAAAAAAATAATTATTAACCTAGTCTTTTAAAAATAAAAAAAAACACAACTAGAAAATCCTAGAATTATTGTTTTTTTTTTTAATTTCTTATCTTGTCCCGCAACCCAAAAAAAAACGAAAAGTTAAATAAAGGCATAACGTCGTATGTTTTTCCATCCATAATTGTCTGGTGGTTATCACCACTTGGATTTCTCTGGTGTATTCTTTTTTTCTGCTTCTTCCTCTTCTTCATAATATATGTGGTCGTGGTGGTGGTAGGCGATAGGTTATTAATAACATTTACACCCATTGAAATTATGACACACATATTCGTAGTTCTTCGTTATCGATTATATTCACATTTAACATTTTAACGGTTGGTCGGTCGGTCATACGGACGGACGGACGCACGCATACACATAACCTGCTGATGATTAAAACTACCTTCTCAGCCATAATACCTTGCTGCATGGTTCACACAAGTTTAAGGGGAGCCCCTAAAGACAGGTGGAGGTTGTGAAGGGGGGCTGGCTATTAGACAACATACACTTTTGGTTTTCACATAAGTTAAGCAATTTTGTACCAACATGCATTATAGCTACAGATTTCTTTTGATCGTGGACCCATAATGAAATTTAATGGAGAATATTTCTTTCATTGACATCGAATTGAATTCGACAAAATTGGAAAACAGTCATGAAATTAAGCTCAATTTTTGGTTAGCACATAGGTTAGACTATTTTTTACCCGTGTACATTATAGCTATAGATTTCTTTTGTTCGTGGACCCATAGTGAAATTTGATGCTGAAAATTGCTTTCATTGACATCGACCACCAAATGAAGGAATCTGCGAAAAATCGAAAAAATTGATAACCGTCATGAAATTAACCTCAATTTTTGGTAAAGACCAATTTTTTACACATATACAATATAGCTAGAGGGTTCTTTTCTTCGTGGACCCATAGTGAAATTTTATGTAGAATATTTCTTTCATTGACATCGACCACGCAAAATGAAGTATTCTGCGAAAAATCGACAAAATTGAAAAACTGTCATGAAATTAACCTTAATTTTTGGTTAGGACAAAGATTAACCAATTTTATACCGGTATACATTATAGCTACATATTTCTTTTGTTCATGGACCCATAGTGAAATTTGATGCTAAACATTGCTTTCATTGACATCGACCACCTAAAATGAAGTAATCTGCGAAAATCGACAAAATTTAGAAATTGTCATAAAATTAACCTCAATTTTTGGTCAAGACCAATTTTTTACACATATACAATATAGCTAGAGGTTTCTTTTCTTCGTGGGCCTATAGTGAAATTTGATGTAGAATATTTCTTTCATTGACATCGACCACGCAAAATGAAGTATTCTGCGAAAAATCGACAAAATTGGAAAGGTGTCATGAAATTAACCTCAATTTTTGGTTAGGACAAAGATTAACCAATTTTATACCGGTATAAATTATAGCTACAGATTTCTTTTGTTCGTGGACCCATAGTGATATTTTATGTAGAATATTTCTTACATTGACATCGACCACGTAAAATGAAGTAATCTGCGAAAAACCAACAAAATTGGAAAACTGTCATGAAATTAACCTCAATTTTTGGTTAGGACAAAGATTAACCTATTTTCTACCCATATACATTATAGAGCTACAGATTTTATTTGTTCGTAGACCCATATTGAAATTTGATGCTGAAAATTTCTTTCATTGACATCAACCACCTAAAAAAAAACGACAAAATTGGAAAACAGTCATGAAATTAACCTCAATTTTTGGTTAACACGTAGGTTAAGCGATTTTTTGCCCATATATATATATAATAGCTAGAGGTTTCTTTTGTTCGTGGACCCATAGTGAAATTTAATGTAGAACATTTCTTCCATTGACACCCCTGAAATTTGACGTTGCCTTTTTTCTCAGCATCTTACTAATTCAATTGCTAATTGATCATAATTAGATTTGTTTTATTGTGCCAGTCAAAAGAAAGTCAAGACCGTGCAGGGTAGTTAAGTAGCCATCCAACCAGCCAGCTATTATAATTGTTATTCAAATATGTTCTTCTTCTTCTTAAATATATTTTATCAAGCGCACATTAGCAATGAGGCGCTACAATCAAATAATAATTCGTAATAGTTGTTTTCTTATCGTATCAGAATTGAAAAAAGAGATTTGTGTGTGAGTGTGTGTGTGTGTGTGTGTGTGAAAGAGACTATGTGTTGTTATTGTTACTCGATTTTTATTCATTTCAATTGTTGTTGATTTGTTTCTACGTTTTTTTAAAGAGAACCCAAATGAAAACAACGACGACGACAACAACAGCAATAATAATAACAATTGATAATAAAAAAAATATTGCAAAAAAAAAATCGCCAGAATCAGAAAACCAGTTAACAGAAAAAAAATATTTTTTTGTTACAAATAAATTTTAGAACTATAGGAATTTAAAAGCCTCGTCAAACGTCATCTAGTTATATAAGGTAATGTAAGTAAGTTTGTACATTTGTAAAACACCGCTGGGTTTATCAATAAAATAAAATGTATTTTTCAATATTTTTTTGCAATAACTATCTGGTTTTGACCATTTTTAGCCAAGATAATAAAATCGAATCTAAAAACAGAGAAAAAGAAAAAATAAAAATATTAACTTAAAAATTGTTTACCACATATGGCGATCGATTTTTTACCCATATATATTGTTGCTAGAGATTTCTTTTGTTCGAGGACCCATAGTAAAATTTGGTGTAGAAAATTTATTTCACTGACATCGACGAACTAAAATGAAGTAATCTCGGAAATATTGACAAAATTCAAAAACAAGTACGAAATTTACCTCAATTTTTGGTTAGCACATGGGTTAAGGGATTTTTTATCCCTATATATTAAAGATAGAGGTTTCCTTTGTTCGGGGACCCATAGTGAATTTTTATATAGAACATTTCATTCATTGACTTCGACCACCTAAAATGCAGTAATCTGCAAAAAACGACCAAAATCGAAAACAAGTATGAAATTAACCCCAATTTTTGATTAGCACAAAGGTTAGGCAATTTTTAGCCCATATATATCAAAGCTAGACATTTCTTTTGTTCGTGGACCCATAGTGAATTTTTATATAGAACATTTCTTTCATTGCCATAAACCACCTAAAATGAAGTAATCTGCAAAAAATCAACAAAAATCGAAAACAAGTATGAAATTAACCTCAATTTTTGATTAGCACCATAGGTTAGGCGATTTTTTACCCATGCATACTATAGCTACAGATTTCTTTTGTTCGTGGACCCCTAATGGATTTTGATGTAGAACATTTCTTTCATTGACATTGATCACCCAAAATCGGATTATCTATGAAAAATCGACCAAATTCGAAAACAAGTATGAAATTAACCTCAATTTTTGGTTAGCACATAGGTTAAGTGATTTTTTACCCATATATATAATATAGCTAGAGCTTTCCTTTGTTCGTGGACCCATAGTGAATTTTTATATAGAACATTTCTTTCACTGACACCGATCACCTAAAATCCAGTAATCTGCGAAAAATCGATACAATTCAAAAACAAATATAAAATTAATGAATTTTTAAAGGAAAAATAAGTATTTAATTAATATGCAATAATTGTTGTTGTTTTTATTTAAATATAATATATATGTATGTATATTTGATTAAATTATATGGAATTTCAAATATTTAAGGTTTTGTTTTATAATACGAAGGAGGGAAGGAAGTTAGGGAATGAGATGTGTATGTGTGTGTTTAAGGAAGGGAAGGGAGGGAGTAAGAAAATTAAGGACCATAAGGATAATAGACGCCAGTTATATAATATATATTTTTATGTTTATATAAATCTTTGCAGCTGCTTCCAAAATCCCAAATAGAGATCCCGCAACCTTTCCACAATTTTTTTTTGGAGTACTCATTTCATTCATTCGTTCATTTGCAGCAATGAATTAATGGTAGCATCTTTATTTCCACGATTGGCCTCGAACACCGTCTTGACCACTTCCGTATCAATGTTGGGGAACATTTCCTGAATTTGTTTCAATTCTTCGGCACTTAATTGTGGTGGTGGCAGGGGAGGTAATGTTGCCACGCCACCACCCTGCTGCACTACAACCGTCGTTGGCTGCTGTTGTTGCGGTGGCACAAATATTGGCATTGGCCTACCCGGCGGCACCATTAACAATGATCCAGCTGCCGGTACTGCTGCTGCAGCAGCAGTTTGATACATATACGGCTGATTGGAAAAACTCAAAACAATATCGATGGCACCCTCCAGACCATCACCCTGTTTGCCGCTCAACGGATACCATTCCTCGTGTGTCTCGCCATTAAATACACGTTCGGGTATTTTAATTTCACACCAGGCAATCAATTCGTCCATTTTGAAGCTGCACTCATCGTAGATTTCCACATACATGGTGGTGACACCGACCGGCAGCTGGGACTGGATAACACGATTCCAACGTGGATTTTTGCCACCATTCGGATCCGTGTGTGTCTCATAGACATAGTGGCCAACGCGTATGCGTACATAGGGATCCATGCGTGTTAGGCCATAATTGCGGGCCAACTTGGCCTGGGCACAGGTAATGCTAAGGCGGCCCATATGATTGGTTGCCACATATTGGGGCATTTGTTGGCGATAGAGGGCCATGGCCGCTTGGGCATCCATGGCCGTGATATTATTGGTCACCTCAAAACGTAGGAAATCATCGGGTAAGGGTAAAAGCATGGCTTTTTTCCAACGATTTTCAATGGCTATGGCCATGGTGGTGATGGACGCAAGCAAGCAAGTAAATTTGAGAGCGAGAGAGAGAGGGCGGGCGTTTAAATCCTGCATTCCACACACACACACACAGACAGAGAGTGTTTCGAAAAGAAATGAAAACGAAAGAAAAAAATCATTTTAATTAAATCCCATAGATTTTGTTTTTAATTTAAAAAAAAGTTTTCAAAATTTGTGGCTTTGTTTTTTTTCAAAAATTTAGCACAAAATTCGTAGAGGTATGAAAAAAATACTTTCAAAAAAGGTTTAACAGGGATTTTTTTATTGCTTGGCGGCAGAGATGGAGGAGGAGGAAGATTTGTACCCAATATTCCGCTACGTTTTGAGGAGTTAACCAATCGATTGCCAAAGGCCATTTGAGAATTATTTTACAAATGATATTCAGTATTTGAAAAAAAATCAGACACACACACGCATACACACATAGTTATTAAATTAACCAAAAAAAATTTAAACCCGAATTTTTGTTCATATATATTACATCTAGAGATTTCTTTTGTTTGTGGACCCATAGTGAAATTTGATGGCGAACATTTCTTTCATTAACATCGACCAAATTGAGTAATCTATGAAATATCATCAAAATAAAGAAAGTATCGAAAAAATAACCTCAATTTTTGTTTACCAATATGATGACCTACTTTTCTTCCTTATATATTATAACTAGAGATTTCTTTTGTTCGTGGGCCCATAGTGAAATTCGATGTAGAACATTTCATTCATTGACATCGTCCCCCTAAAATTGAGTTATCTGCGAAAAATCGACAAAATTAGGAGAATGTCCGAAAAATAACATCAATTTTTGTTTACCAATATGCTGAACGATTTTTCGTCTATATATATTATAGCTGCAGATTTCCTTTGTTCGTGGACCCATAGTGAATTTTGATGTAGAACATTTCATTCATTGACATCGACCCCCTAAAATTGAGTTATCTGCGAAAAATCGACAAAATCGGGATTATGTCATAAAATTAACCTCAATTTTTGATTACCAATAAGTTAATCGACTTTCCGTCGATACATATTATAGCTAGAGATTTATTCTGTTCGTGGATATATTTCGTATATAACATTTCGATGTATAACATTTCAATCATTGACATCGACGCTGTAAAATTGAGCTATGTGCGAAAAATCGACAAAATTGGGAGAATGTCATAAAATTAACCTAAATTTTTGTTTACTCATAGGTTAGGCGACTTTTTACCTATTTATACTATAGCTACAGATTTCTTTTGTTCGTTTTGAAATTTAATGGAGAATATTTCTTTCATTGACATCGACCCCCTACAATTGAGCTATCTGCAAAATATGGATATAATTTAAAAATATGATAAAATTAACCAACATTTTTTTACCCATAGGTTAGCGATTTTTTACCCATACGTACTATAGCTACAGGCTGCTTTTGCTCGTGGGCCCATAGTAAAATTGAAAATCGAGAGCCATATGGGGAGACTGGCAGCAGCCCCAGCCATTTTGCAATTGGAATTTTGCATACCGTATTATCCTTTATCCAATCGATCTTCAATTTCAAAAAGCCTTTGAATGTAATTTTAACATAATTTTTTGGAAAATCCGAGAGCTATTTTAATTTTCTCGAATTTAATTAAATAATTTATTAAAAAAAGTCCCATTTCAATTGTCAAACGGCCTTTGACAAGGCGCCGTTATGGCGTTTTTACACAATGCAGTTGCTGGTAACACAATTAAGACGGTGGTGATTAGCGTTTGGCGGCGCACTGTGCGTTTTCGCATTAAGATATGCAAAATATAAAAATAAATTATTTTTTAGGAGAGTATTATTCTGACACCTAAAAACTTTGATATTTTCTTCTTTGTTTCCCAATGTTTTGTTTTATGAGAAATTGGACACTTTTTACAAACTAAAAAAATGACCTTGGTGGGGAAAATAAACTTCACCTTTCTTGTGTTTTTATTTTGTTTCCCTCGTTTTTCCATCTTTCGTATCATCCATCAATGATATTCATTTTCACTTTTTTTCTATTTTTCTTTTAGTTTGCTTTTGTTTTTAATACCTCATTAACATCAAATATGTGTTGTGTGCGGGGGTATAAAAACACCCACAGCCAAGACCCATTACTAGCTTGTGATGGTGTTTCCACACAATGAAATTTAATAGGCTTGTAGTGATAAGCTGCACTTGACCCGTTAAACATAAACCAAAGTCAGTAGTAACGGCGGCGGCAGCAGCGATGACGTCGTCGTTGTAAATTTATGGCAGCACACACATCACTTCCCTTAAAAGGGCGATCATTTCTTTTATCTTACAAATATGGACGCGAAAGAGACTAGACAGCAAATTATGAAAATTAAATTTGTTTTTTTTTATTGTTCTTGTTATTTTTTAGCATAACACGCAAAGAAATTTGTAGTTAAAAAAATCAATTATAATCAAAACACAACAAGCAAAGCTGCACTTGACCCGTTAAACATGAATCAAAGTCAGTAGTAACGGCGGCGGCAGCGGTGCCGTCGCCGTTGTCAATTTATGGCAGCACACACAAAACCCCCCCTTAAAAGGACGATCATTTCTTTCGTTTATCTTACAAATATGGATGCGAAAGAGGCTAGACAACAAATTATGGAAATTAAACGTGTTTTTTATTGTTCTTATTATTTTTTGACAAAACACACAAAGAAATTTGTAGTAAAAAAATTAAATTATAAACAAGACACAGCAAAGCTGCACTTGACCCGTTAAACATAAACCAAAGTCAGTGGTAACGGCGGCAGCAGCGGTGACGTCGTCGTTGTCAATTTATGACAGAACACACACAACACCCCCCTAAACGGCGATCATTTCCAATGTTTATCTTTCAAAGATAGGGCGCACACAGAGAGAGAGAGCGCGTTTGTGTGTATTTTATAGAGCAAGAGGAGATAGGGTTGCCTAATTATGATAACAAAACACCCATATAAATATAGCAGAAAATATCATGATGTATGAATCATAGAGGCAAAAAAATAGACAGAGACACAAAAACAACAACAGACCGGCATATTTCGAAAAATAAAAGGAAAAATGATAATATGGAAAAAGGGGAATAAAGATATTAAAAAAACACTAGATAAAAAGAAGAAAACAAATGTCAGTAATTTTGCCACAAGTGAAGGAGGGAGGGAGGGGGTGTTTTTGCCGTATAAAGGAAACAACTAAAAGGAAATGTCATTCAACATATTTAAAAAACAGCAAAATATGGTGGGTTGTGAATCACACACACCAAAACTCACAGAAATTTGTTGAAAACAAAAGTGAGAGAGAGAGAGAGAGCCAACCAGCCAGCTTATACAGGATATAACAAGATGTTCATTTAATGGCAAGGGGGCAAGGAGATTATTGCTTAGTATATTATATTAAATTGTAATAATAAAACAAAAAAAAAACCCAACCGACGTTTTTGTGGTTGTGAAATTAATATTAAAATTGTAACTTTTATGTTAACGAATGAGTGTGGCGTCAGCGGCGGACTTTTGCGATTTATGGCAAATGAGTAGAGTGAGTTAACAAAGCATTATTTTAAATCAATTATTATTCACTGCAACAACAACAACAATAATAAAGATAACAAAAAAGAATATAATTTTTTACACAATAATTTTTGCCCTTTTTTAGCAACAAAAAGACGCCGAGTCTCACAACACACAACTGTGGGGGGGTAGACAGACTGCAAGCAGTTCAATGTTTTGTTCGTTGACATAGGAAATAATCATCGTCATCGTATGCGGAGCAGGCAGGCAAGGCAACTCAGTCGACAATACATTTTTAAAAAAGGAAACCACCAACCACACACAGCAGTCCCCACCCTTTTTTCTCTTCATTGGCTTTGCTGTTGTTGTATGACGATCACACACACACAGTCGTGCAATAACACTCATGATGGTTAAATATACATTTTTTTGACATTTACTTGTTAAATATTTCGTTTTTTTTTATTTTTCAAGTTATTAATTTTTTATGTAAATGCCCACCGCACACATACACACACTCAACTAAAAATTGCATTTTTCATAAAACTTTGCTCCAATTTTTTAAAATTTTTTTCACTGTTTACTTTTACCAAAACTATATCAATTTCGAAGGGTCAATGTTTGAGGGTCATTTTAAAAGGTTGTAAACCCTCCAACCAGCTAGCACCACACACAACCCTTTTTTCGTTTTTAATACCTCTTCAAATTTTGCCTTCGTTCTTTCTTTCTTTCTTCTACTCACTCACGAACACACACTCTCACACAAAACACTTTTTTTCGTTTTTTTTTAACCATTGTACTTACCTTTTGTTCTCCAATCGGCAAAGGGGGAATAAAAGTAATAATTCCACACAATTATAACACTTTTCTTTCGCTATTTATCTGTTAATTCACTTTGTTTTTTTTTTTAATTATTCTTTACAATTTTATTATTGGGTGTATGGTTGTTTTTTTATGTGTAGGCAAAAGAAATAAAACCGAATAGTAGTAGTATAAGAAAATCAAATGAATGCGTGTTCAACTTCCGTTGTTTTCTTCGTTCCAGCAAAAAATAAAATATTTTCGAGATGTGTCGTCGGTCGCTGGCGTTTGACAATTAGATTTAACGCCGTCAAGTGTCTTACCGTTGTGTTGTGTGGTAACGCCGTCAAGTGTAAAAATTCGTTTTGCTTTGTTGTCTGTACTCTAACAAGGTTCAAAGGAACGACATGGAAATGAAATAAACGGAACCATTTGCAACTGGTTTCTTTAGTTCACATGTAGTTCATTTTAGTGAATCTAGTTAATTTATTTATTTTGTTTTGAATGAAAAAATAGGCAAACATGTATTGGATTTTATTATATTAATTATTGAGTATATATATAAAATAAATGATAAAAAATGAGAAATATAAACATAGTCTTTGTTTTTGGTATTAGGACATCAATAAAATATATATATATTATGGAAAAAAATATAAATGCAATTATTTAAAGAATTTTTATCAAAAAATAATAATAATAATTAATTTAGATTTACGAATTTTGATTTACGAAATCCACACGATCACAAATGTCAATTCCATAGGGTATAATATAATAAAAGCGTCAAATATAATAAAAATAAAAAAATTTAAAAAAAACCGAAATCCGTTATATCGAGGCTAAACCTAAAACTGGACCAATATTAATGATTTTTGGTTGAAAGGTTTTCTACCCCAAGAGAACCCAAAATATAAAATTACAGCAAATTTGCTTAGGAAACTTTACAAAAATGCCGAAAATTTGAATTACTCTCATATGGAGGTTATTCCTGGAAACTGAACCAATATTGATAATTTTTGCTAGGGAGGTTTACTAACCAATGAGTAACGAATATTTCAAATTACAACAAATTCGATTGGAAAAAAATGCCCAAAATCTTTAAAATATTGAGAATCGGAAGGCAGGTTTACTACCCCAAGAGAACCCGAAATATCGTATTACTACCCATTCCAATGGAAAAAGGATCCTAAATCCTTTAACTTTCCTGATATAGAAGGTCTAGTTATATGAGGACTATACCTAAAGGTAGGCAATTAAAATCACAAAATGACTATTTTGAAATGAATTTTTTAGAAAATTATTTTCAAATTATTGTGAAGAAAAAAAATCGAAGTTTCAGATTCAACAAAAATTGTATTTACATATAAATTTTATAAGCACTTATTTTTAAAACATTTATTTTTGAATTGTTTCTAATGTTTTGATTTGTAATATATTTTCAAAATTATTTTTCTATTTTTAATTTCCCTTTTTTTTACTTTTCCTTCGTCGCCTGCTGCTGCTGCTGTTGATCTTGTCGTGTTTTCAATATACTTGTTATTAGAAATTCACCCGCCTTATATGAGCTACGCACCAATGGACCACTTGCAGTATACAAGAAACCCAATTCTTTGCCACGCAATTCCCATGATTTAAATTTTTCCGGGGTAACATATTCGATAACTTTCAAATGTTTCTTGGTCGGTTGCATATATTGGCCCAGTGTTAGGCAATCGACATCGGCCTCACGTAAATCGCGCATTGTTTGTTCAACTTCTTGATCGGTTTCGCCCAGACCCAACATAATTGAACTTTTTGTCAACAGTTTAGGATTGAATTTTTTCGCTTCGGTTAAAACTTTCAAAGTTTGACGATAATCGGCACGTCGATCCCGTACAAAGGGTGTTAACTTTTCCACCGTTTCGATATTATGGGCATAGACATCCAAACCCGATTTGGCAATTGTTTCGACACACTGCAAATCACCACGGAAATCGGGTACCAAACATTCAACAAATATATTGGGATTTCTGGTAAAAAAATAGGGGGGGAATTGTTGGGTTTTTTATTAAATTTCCAAAAAAAAAAAAAAAAAATATTATTACCTTTGTTTAATTTCTCTAACGGTTTCGGCAATGTGTTTGGAACCGCCATCAGGTAAATCTAAAAAATTAAAAAAAAATCGTATTTGTTTTCAAACTAAAACGAGAATTATTTGTTCTACCCACCATCTCGATCAACGGATGTCAACACAATATAATCCAAACCCCACGAGGCCACAGCCTTGGCCACATTGACCGGCTCCAAGGCATCCAATGGTGGTGGATTGCGTGCCGTTTTCACCGAACAAAAACGACAACCACGCGTACATGTATCACCCATTAGCTGGACAAAAAAAATTGTAAAAATAGAATTTTGATAAGATTGACAGGGTCACACAATAGGTTATCATCCATACATGTATATGTATATATAACTTACCATTATGGTGGCTGTCTGTGTACCATGCTCACCGCCACCCCAACATTCACCAATATTGGGACAACGTGCCTCCTCACATACTGTCGCCAATTTCAATTCCCTCAGCTGGGCTTTGATTTTGGCGAAATTCTTACCCACCGGTATGGGTGTCTTTAGCCAGGGTGGCAAACGCAAACGTTCATTTTCACCTTTGTCACGACGCAATTTACCCTCAAATTGTGACCATTCCTCGTGACTTAATTCTGGATTTTGTACAAAATCACCAAAATTTGGTCCCTTGGCAAGACGTTCACGAATTTCATCAATTTTATTTCGAGACGTCTCAGCTGTTGCTGCTGTTGTTGTGGGGCTGGTGGCTGCTGTCCTTGTTATGATACTACTGGGCTGAAGAAGAAAAAAAAAAATCAGATTTTTGTTTTACATTTCGTTCGGCCTTCTTGTCTACTCCATTCTACACTTACCAAGCCCCCCAAGGGTTTTGCTAGAGTTTGTCGAAGCATAATATTTATTGTTTTCCTATTTATTTTGTAGTCATCCGAGTCCTCATCAGTAGTTCTTTTCTATGGCAAAGTTACGAAATTAAATCTATCAAAACAATGAGCTGCTTCTTCTTCCTTCTCGTATTGTTAGCATTCACATGGCAATGGGGACATATAACAGAGATGACAGTTTTAAGGAAAGTGGCTGGAATTCTTTTTTAACGATTTTAAAACATTAATTATAAATTTATATATATATATATATATATTAAACCACAAAAATATCACTTTTCTATTTATGAAGATATGTTCTATCATATCAAAACAATTATCCGCTTCTTCTTTCTCGTATTGTTAACATTCACACGGCAATTGGTACACATATACACAACAGAGATGACAGTTTTAAGGGAAGTGGCTGGAATCCTATTTTAATGATTTAAATACATTCATTTTAAATTTATATATATATATATAAATATATTAAACAATAAATTTATTGTTATGAATTTGAAAGAAAATGAGAGAAAAGAACTATTCTTAATTATGAATACAATGATCAGTTTCTTCTTCTTCAATCTCCTATTGTTAACATTCACATCGCAATGGGTACACACACAGACATAATAGAGATACCAATTTTAATGAAAGTGGCTGGAATTCTATATTAAAACATTTTTTAAACATATATATATGTATATATATATTTAACAAAAATTATCACTTTTCTATTTATTAATTTGAAAGAAAGAGAAACTATTTTTTCTACCGATCAAAACAATGATCAGCTTCTTCTTCCTTCTCCTATTGTTAACATTCACATGGCAATGGGCACACACAGTAATATAACAGAAATGACACTTTGAAGAAAAATTGGTGAAATTCTATTTTAATAATTTTAAAACTTAAAAAAATGTATACATATGATTTAGAAAATAAAGTGCTACTTTTCTATTTATTATTATTTTGAAATAAAAAAACGAGAAGTAAATCACACAACTACGTATAACAACAGATGTTAACAACGTTCTTTTTCTTCTGTTTATTGGTTTGGACATTCAGCGAGCAATGGTTTCTCAGAGAATAAAATGCCTAAGACTACGTTTAGATTTACGAAAGCTATTCGATTTCAAATGCCAATTCCATAGCGTATACGTTAAATATAAACCACTGGATTTGTGAACAGGATTAAGGTGGCGTATACGCTATGGAATTGACATTTGAGATAGAGTGGATTTAGTAGTCTAAACGTGCTCTTAAGGTGACGTATACTTTATGGAATTGACGTTTGAGATCAAATGCATTTAGTCGTCTAAACGCGGTCTAATCTAATAAATTGTCCATTACACTATTGTCAAATAAAATACACTAGAATTATTAATTAATTTTTAAAACATTTACACTATACTGGATTTAAAAAATTAAAGAAATTTCCGAGAAACAAAAATTCCATTCGATCAAGAGCGTTAATGTTACAGAAATTCTTCTTTAGGTTTTATTTGACATATTTTAAAACTTTTTGCAGGGTTATTATTTCATTTATATTTCGCGAGAAATTATTAGCCTTAATATATATTGTGGAGCCTCTAAAAGTGAATTACCCCTGACTATTTTGCAATAACAAAATAAAAAAAGTGATCCATGCTTAAAAAGCTTTTTTATTTTGTTTTTTAAACACATTTTTTTGAACGCCATTAATTTTGTTTTTTTCCTCTCAATAGTGGCAACGGATATCATAATCATCTTCTTATTATTATTATCATAATACATTTTTACCATTCATCTAGAAATGATGTCCCCGGCATATGGGCCACAAAGCCATTAAAGTGTTACATAAAACGGCGTAAATAAACCATTAAAATATGCAAGCCATAAAAACTTTTGATTTTTCTTAATCCCAGCATTATGAACGTTAATAATTTTGTTTTTTTCTCACTCTGCAGTGGCAACGAAAATCATTATACTTTTCTTCTTCTTATTATTATCATAATTTTTCAGCATTCATCTTGAAATGATGTCCCCGGCATATGTGCAACAAAGCCCTTATAGTGTTTCATATAACGGCGTTCGAAATGTAAACAAATCATTTTGAAAGAAAAAAAAAACAACAACAGCACAGAACGTGTTCACATCTGTTTTTTTTTTTGTATTTCATTTCATTCAGTTGATAAGATTTGTTGCGGCCGGTCGGTGTTTTTTCTTTCATTCTTTTATTTGTTTTTGTTCTATTTTATAGTTCTTATAACGAAAAAAACACGTTTTTTCCGGGAGGTCTGCAGCAAAAAATACTTAACAAATAGACAATTTGTTTTTTTAATTAAATAGAAAAAAATTATATATAGAATGGAGAATTTAAGGTAATAACAATAAAACTGAATTATATATAAGTTTAATTATAATTAGATATATTTTTTAATTATTATTTTATTGCCATGTTCATTTATATCGATAAGACACTTGGTTCAAGTTGTTGCTGTCTGTCTGGACGTTATTGTTTGGGTGGAAGGTGGGGAGTTGGTTGTGGTAGCACACACACAACTGTTATAAAATTAGGTGGTGTTAGACACGAAACAACGTTCCGGTGGGCGGCGTTGTTCGTAATAACCTTTAAACAATGACTGGAGGTAAAAAACATAGGATGTGTGACTAACATATAAAATAAAAATCAGCCATTCAAGATTTTAGAATCGCCGGATTTTGTGAGGAATGATCGGTAGTTAAAATCGATGTCTTGAAATAACATTTTTTGTCGTTTCAGAAACGTGCTCTATAATTTCAAATATTAAAATTCCGAATGTCTATATGTATTTGAATTAAGCCTAGAGTGATGTGTGCCAAATTTAATGCAGATCGGTTCAGATTTCGATATAGCTCCCATAAGAAAATTGCGTCCAATTTCATATAAATCGTGTGCTAATGAGGCTACACCTATCCGATCGACACGAAATTTTGCACAGGCAACTGAATTGAGCCTAGAATGATGTGTGTCAAATTTCATTGAAATCGGTTCAGATTTCGATATAGCTCCCACATATAATTTTATCGGATTACATGTAAATCCTGCCTTAAAGAGCCCACATCTGTCCGAAATCATGTACAGGTGACGGAATTGAGTCTAGAATAGAGTGTGCTAAATTTAATTCAGATCGGTTCATAGCTCTCAAGAAAATTGCATCCAATTTCATATAAATCGTGTGTCAATGTGGCAACAACTATCCGATCGACACGAAATTTTGCACAGGCAACTGAATTGGGCCTTGAATGATGTGTGCCACATTTAATTCAAATCGGTTAAGATTTCGATATAGCTCCCATATATAATTTATTTATTTATCGGATTTCATGTAAATCCTGACTTAAAGAGCCCACATCTGCCCGAAATAATGTACAGATGACGGAATTGAGTCTAGAATGATGTGTGTCAAATTTCATTGAAATCTTTTTAGATTTAAGTACGGTATTTTCCGATTTTCGATATTTTGACCAGATTTTCAAACCAAAATGGTTGTAATTTGATATTTCGGGTTCTCGTGGGGTGGCAAATCCATCTGCCATAAATTATCGAAATTGGTGTAGTTTTAGGTATAGCCGCCCCATACGCTAACTTCCGATTTTCGATATTTTGACCAGATTTTCAAACCGAAATGGTTGTAATTTCATATTTTGGGTTCTCGTGGGGTGGCAAATCAACCTACACAATAAAACGCTATCTTCCGATTTTCGATATTTTATGAAAATTTGTCACCCCTATTACATTCTCCCTTCTTTTGATTTGTTGTTGTGTTTTGTTTGACGTTTTTTTTGTTTCATTTCATGTTTTGTTTTTGTTTATTGCTTTCGCTGATGACCTCAGTATCACTTCGATGGTGATCTTGTTGTTTCCCGTTTGATACGCATCAGAACCAAAACAAAACCAAGCAACAGATTTACACATTCTAAACTGATAATATTCTGAAATACAAATAAATTAGAAAAAACATAATGTTGTTAGTTTCACATTACCCCTGGCAACGGACAGTACCTGCGGTAGTCCACAAAATCCTCAATATAAAATCTCAAATAAAAAACATGCACATGCTTAAGTAATTTTTTAGTAATTAATTATTTTTTTTTAATTAATTGTTGATTTTTTTCTCTCTCTCTCTCTCTTTTTCCAGGGAAGGTATTTTAGTTGGCTGCGGTAATCCTCTGCTGGACATTTCGGCCAATGTCGAAGAAGATCTATTGAAAAAATACGAATTGAAACCGAACGATGCCATTCTGGCCGAAGAGAAACACATGCCTCTGTACAAGGAGCTGGTCGAAAAATATAAAGCCGAATTTATTGCCGGCGGTTCGGTACAGAATTCGTTGCGTGTCTGCCAGTGGTTGTTGCAAAAACCCAAGGTGGCCACATTCTTTGGCTGTGTTGGCAATGATGATTATGCCAAAATTCTGGAAGAGAATGCCACCAAGGATGGCTTAAATGTCCGTTATCAATATACACAAGATGCTCCGACGGGCACATGTGCCGTTCTCGTAACGGGCACTCATCGTTCGTTGTGTGCAAATTTGGCAGCAGCAAATAATTTCACATTGGATCATTTACAAATAGCGGAAAATAGAAAGCTATTGGAGGCGGCTGAATACTATTATATATCGGTATGTATGGATATATTAAAATTTGGAGAAAACAAACTACATTAATCCGAACTATGTTTTTGTAGACTTGCACATACAAATAAGGGCACTATTTAAAGGTGTTCTGATGATGGTTAATTTTTGGCGCAAAGATATTCTATACATATCAAGTTCTAGTCAATTTTATTGGAAACAAATTCCGAAAATTCCAAAAATTTGGATAGTTCCGCTATATGGAGGCTATACCTAAAAGTGGGCCGATATTGATAATTTTTGGTACGAAGATTTTCTATCCAATGAGAAAACGAAATAACAAATTTCAATTAAATCGAATCAAATCAAATTTCAATCAAAATTCAAAAAATTTTAGAGTTCGGTTATATGGGGGCCATAACCAAAAGTGGACCGATATTGATCATTTTTGGTACGAAGATTTTCTACCCAATGAGAATCAAAACTGTTAAATTACAGCCATATCAGTTGTAAAATGTGACCGAAATCCTTAAAAATTCAAGATTTTGAGGTTTTGGTTATATGTGGGCCATACCCAAAAGTGGATCGATATTGATCATTTTTGCTAGGAAAATTTTCTACCCAATGAGAATCAAAAATATAAAATTACTGCCAAATCGGTTGAAAAATGTGTCCAAAATCCTTAAAAATCCAAAATTTTGAGGTTATGGTTATATGGGGACAATACCCAATAGTGGATCGATATTGATAGTTTTTGGTAGAAAGATTTTCTATCCAATGAGAAACCGAAATAACAAATTTCAATCAAATCGGTTGGAAAATATGTCCAAAATTTTGAAAAATCAAAAATTTTGAGGTTACGGTTATATGAAGGCCATACCCAAAAGTGGTTCGATATTGATAATTTTTGGTAGGAAGTTATTCTACCCAATGAGAAACTAAAATAACAAATTTCAATCAAATCGGTTGGAAAATATGTCCAAAATTCTTAAAAATCCAAAGTTTTTAGGGTTCGGTTATATGGGGGCCATACCCAAAAGTTGATCGATATTGTTAATTTTTGGTAGGGAGATTTTCTACCGAATGAGAATCAAAACTGTTAAATTACAGCCAAATTATTGAGATTGTAGACTTTTATTTTAAGAATTTTTTTATTTGGAGACTTTTCGGATAGACAACATTACAACTGGAGACTTTTCTTGTAGTAAACTTTACAATTGGAAAATTTTCTGATAAAAATCTATATAATTGGAGTCTTTTCCTATGGTTAATATTGCAATTGGAGACTTTTTCCAAAGAAAATTTTACAATTGGAGACTTTTGCTAAAGAATATATTGCAATTGGAGACTTTGAAAAGTCTCCTATTGTAGAAAATCCAAAATTGTAGACTTTTCTTATACGAAAGTTTACAATCGGAGACTTTTTTATGAAGAAAAAAATTGCAATTGGAGACTTTTCTGAAAGAAACATTTACAATTGGAGATTTTTCATATAAACAAATTACAATTGGAAACTTTTCTTCTAGAAAATTATTCATTTGGAGACTTTTCGGCTAGAAAACATTACAATTGGAGACTTTTCTTATACGCAACTTTACAATTGGAGACTTTTTCCAAAGACATTTCTACAATTTTGCTAAAGAAAAAATTTAAAATTGGAGAGTTTTTTATACGAATCTTTAAAATTTGAGACTTTTTACAAGAAAATTTTGCAATTGGAGACTTTTTCTTCGATTGTTTTTTTTTAATTCCACACTAATAATTGTTTTCTCCCGCTTTTTTCGATCTATTGCAGGGCTTCTTCTTGACCGTTAGTCCGCCCAGCATTATGGAAGTTGCCCACCACGCCCACAAACACCAGCGTACCTTCATGATGAATTTAAGCGCCCCCTTCCTATCGCAATTTTTCAAAGAACCCATGATGGCCGCCATGCCCTATGTCGATATACTGTTTGGCAACGAACAGGAAGTTGAAACTTTCGCCAACGAACAGGGTTGGGAGGAGACGAAAGACCTAAAGGTGATCGGTCGCAAATTGGTCGCCCTGCCCAAGGAGAATAGCCAACGGGAACGTATTGTGATTATAACTCAGGGCCATTTGCCGGTGCTGCTCTTTAAGGATGGCAAAATTCACGAATACGAAGTGCCGCAGTTGTCGCGCGAACAAATGGTCGACACCAATGGAGCGGGTGATGCCTTTGTTGGTGGCTTCTTGGCCCAGTATGTGCAAAAGAAGCCGTTCGATGTGTGTATACGTTGCGGTATATGGTCGGCGGGAGAGATTATTAAACGTAGCGGTTGTACGTTTGAGGGTAAGCCGACATTTGTCGAGGAATAATAGAGTGAGAATAGTGTGGACGAGGGAGGAGGAGGGATGGTGGGAAAATCCATCTTCAATGTACCGTGTTAAATCCAATGGCCTTTCAAATTGAAACTTAATATTTTTTTGTATTGTTGTTGTAATTTTTGCATTTCATTTCTTTTTTGTTATTTTATTTGAGGAATAAAAACAAAGATTGAAAAAAAAAAACAATTTAAAATACCACATTCTATACCATTTTATGGCGATGGGACAAATGTAGAGCGTTGGGCCGGATTTTCATGAAATCGGACAAAATTTTATATGGGAGGTATATGCAAATCTGAACCGACTTTAATCAAATTTGGTAATCGTTATTCTGAACTGAATTCAGTCGATTGTGCAAAAAGAAATCTAACAAAATTTTATATGGGAGGTATATGTCATGTGAAGCGATTTCAATCAAATTCGACATACGGTATTCTATACTTAATTCATTAGTCTGTGCAACATTTCTTGACTATCGGCGAGATTTAGAGCAGTTTGGTCCACGATTTTCATGAAATCCGACAAAATTGTATATGACAGGTATATGATAATGTGAAGCGATTTCAATCAAATTTGACATACGATATTGTATATTTAATATTATACGCTATGCAAAATTTCGTGTCCATAGGACATACGTAACGCCTTTGGTCCATGAGTTTCATGAAATCCGACAAAATTTTATATGGGAGGTATAGGGAAATGTGAAGCGATTTTAATTAAAATTTACATGTGTTTCTATTCATTCAATAGCCTGGCAAAATTTCATAGTATGTATCGCCTTTGGTCCACGATTTTCATGAAATCCAACAAAATTTTATATGGCAGGTATATGGAAATGTGAAGCAATTTTAAACAATTTTTATCATACACTATTCTAGATTAAATTCTGTTGCCAGTGCAACATTTTTATGGCGATCGGACAGATGTAGAGCCGGTGGCGCCTTATTTATTTATTTACAAAATCGATTACAATTTCAATTCATAGAAGATTCTTGCCGTTTCTGCAACAGATCATAGGTTTGTATATAGCTGAGCTGAACTACAACCTTTCCTGCACGGCCTTTTCCAAGATGTCCGTACATAAATCAAGATAATTCGCACGCAATCTTTTCCAGCTTTCCGTCATCGAGACACTTTTAATGTTTTCGATTGCAAATTGAACAGCCTTTGATTTAAGGCGATCACTGGAATGACGATCGGCCAGAAGAAGAATATCAGCCACCGAGTCCACACTCATGGTTTCGATTAGCATGTTTTCACACATTTCTTGCAAACCCGACATGGCGTATTTATTGCCAGCCACAAATAGATCCGTTGCCATTTCCTTGGGTATTTTCTCGTCCGTGTACATATAATTTAGCAATTCCTTGAGAACTTTCGAGTCCATATCTTCAATTTGAATACTACCGGTTTTCTTCTCTTCGAGGTCATTGCGAAACATGGCCGCAAAAACTTCACTGCGGGCGCATAATAAAACTTTGTGGACCTTGAATTCAATTTTATCTTGAGAGACAAGTGTTAAATCGCTGAATTCTTTGCTAGCCAAGATATTAGCCAAATCCTTGGAGATGGTTGTTGAGGGTTGCGTTTCATGTCCACATTGTATTTGAAGATATACCTCGACGTGCCCATATTCCCGACTTCTGCTTCTATGAAAAAAAGGGATAACATTATGTATTTCTTTCGTTGATATCTCTTTTGCATATTTTTCTGGTCCTCTCGTTACTGTAACTTGAAAAATCGTGTCGGTGGAATTGCATGACATCAACGTTACAAATATATCTCCATCAAAACATAGCCGCCATGTGGATTTGACGCTTCCATTATTTACCACAATATCCGGAGAATTAATATCACAATTATTATCCGAATGGAACTTCCAACAATATTTGTTATCTCCTAAGTTAATGATATTTCCAACAGAATTCATCATCAAAAGATTTCAGCAGACTTAGACACACACTGGATGGGAGGGATATCTCAACAAAAATTTAAAATTGTAGCGACCGCAAAAAAAAAAAAGAAACAAAGACGATTACTTGTAGAGTTGGGTAGTTCCGGAACGAACTAGTTCATTGGAACTATTCCGAGAAAGGAACGATCGGAACTAGTTCCAGCTCTCTAATTAATATAGTTCCTTTTTCTGATCTCGTTCTTTTTTCTTTTCCTTTTTTTCTCTTTCTTTTTTCTGATCTCGTTTTTTGTGAGCGAAAATAAAAACAAAAAGAACGATGAAAGAGAGAGATTCAAAGGAACTATGTAGGAGTCGGAACTACATGGAGCAAAGGAACTATATGGAGCAAATGAACTATAGGAGCAAAGGAACTATAAAAAGCAACGGAACTATATGGAGCAAAGGAACTATAAAGAGCAAAGGAACTATAGGAGCAAATGAACTATAGGAGCAAAGGAACTATAAAGAGCAACGGAACTATAAAGAGCAACGAAACTATATGGAGCAAAGGAATTATAAAGAACAAAGGAACTATATGGAGCAAAGGAATTATAAAGAACAAAGGAACTATATGGAGCAAAGGAACTATATATGGAAAAAACAAAAAAAAGAACGATGAAAGGGAGATTCAAAAGAACTATGTAGGAGTCGGAACTATATGGAGCAAAGGAGCTGTATGGAGTACGGGAATTATATGGAGCAGAGGTACTATATGGATCAAAGGAACTATATGGAAAAAAACTATATAGTTCCTTTGACTATGTAGGAGTCGGAACTATATGGAGCAAAGGAACTGTGTGGAGCAAAGGAACTATATGGAGCAAAGGAACTACATTAAGGAACTAGTTCCTTTTTGAAAATGGAACGAGAAAGATCGATCCGCTAAGTGAACTAGATTGCCCAACTCTAATTACTTGTTTGTCGATCTGTTCACAGAGTCCATTGCCGTTTGATTTTTGCCTTTGATGGCAACAGCTGATATTATTCGTTGCTCGCACACACAAACACAATCGGCGTTAATGTAGAATTTAAAAGTAACCCGTAACGATCACAACAACAATAAAAACCGTTGTAATTTAAAATTAATCGAAACAAAATTGTAGCGGCAACAGAAAACGAAACAAAGCCTTACTTTACATTACGAATCATGGTCATTGGAGGTTTTATTTTTTCTCTCTTTCATTGGTAAATTTTACTTCCAATGTTAATAAATCATAATTATCGAGAAAATACATAATGCAAAATAGCGCATAGACGGAGTACATGGGCCGTTTGATGTTTCTTCTTCTGACATATGTTTTCATATATCAATTCCACCGTGTTTGGGATAGAATTCAAAGTGGCATGAGACACTGGGTCTATGTTGCCACCTTCACGGGTATACATATATTTCATGGGATTTTATGTGTTTTAGATTTTAGTATTACATCGATTGAAGGTGGATAAATTTCGAGTAGATTTTGCATTAAAGGACGTCTGGTATTTAGTAGGTCAATGTCAGGGCAATTAAAGGTGATGTGGTCCATAGTTTGGATGTCTCCACAATCACATCTGTCTTAGCTGGTTATGTTAATTCTGTGGTGATGATGTTTCACCTGATTGTGGCCAAATCGTAGTCTGATTGTTGTTGCGACACTTTCGGGGCATATTAACACTTCGGAACCAAGGAATACAGTTGACTTTGGAGGGACAATAAGTAAAATCGTCTCCCAAATATACTTCCATTTTTCTTGCCAAGATGTGTCTGCCGAAGATTTGTCGTTTTGTCTCAAGTCATATGGACATTATTTTGGGTAAGAATCGATTGGATTATGGTTAGTGGCAATGAAGAACACATACTCGTTTCCAGCGATGCCGCTATGACTAGGCACCCATAGAAAGTGTATAGTGTAGACCTCCCTAGACATTTGGTAAACCTCATCTTTTATTCTGTAAATAAAGGGATGGGTATTTCTGGAGTTTTGGGATCCAATGGCCTGAAGGACTGATTTGATGTCAGTGGTGAGTACATATTTCCCAGGATCACAGGTTTTACATTAAAGCTTCAACAACAGCATACGCTTCCGCGAAGAAAATAGAACAGCTTTTATCTAACGTGAATGAAGTTTCGATGTCCAACGAAGGTATCCATCAGGCACAGCTGGTTTTGTCTGCCGTTTTTTGAATCGTCAGTGAATATGGTTTTGAAATCGAAAAATTTAGTATGCGTGGTGTTAATGTACATATTAACAATGTCCGATGTTGCCGATCGATTCATAAAGAACGTCCAGAAATGTTATGTTTCGGAGTAGAGAGATGACTTGGAGTGGATAGTTATATTGAATAGGTCGATGTGTAATCTGATGAGATTATTGAATAGGTCGTTGTGTAATCTGATGAGATTATTGAATAGGTCGATGTGTAATCTGATGAGATTATTTCTTGCTACTTTCCCATGGTACAGTTGGAACAATCCAGGGCGGATTTGATACAGATCATTATATTTTTGAATATATTTATTCGTCGGATTCTTGCAATCAGCAATAATATTATTAATATAATTACTGGCCAGGAATTTCCATTTGATTTTAGTTTTTGACGGCAACAGCTGATCTTATTCATTGTTCACGCACAAACAAACTGTCGGCGTCAAAATAGGATTTCATTGCGTCAGCAGGCGGCCCTTTGAATTTTGCCTTTGACGGCAACAGCTGATCTTATTCGTTGTTCGCGCGCACACAAACCGCCCGCGTTTGTTTTTTAAATGACAAAATAACATCTTTAGACACATCTATAGACACTTATTTTATACATAAATATTAAATAGAACTACTGAAAGAAAAAAAAACGTGTATAGCAACATTTTTAAAATTAATAAAATAGTATCGAAACGAATAAGTATATGGGCAATATTGCCAATTTTTTAACATAGCTGAAGCGGAGGTTCACCCCTTTATAACTCGGGAAGTACTTAAGTATATGAAAAAAGTGAATAGTTTTGGGTTAATTGGTCTGTCGTTGCAAACATGATATTGACCTCCAAGCTTTATTTTGG